GGGGGGGGGGGGTGTGTGTTACCATATTCATATATTGGTGTTTTGCATTATTAATTTCTTTTGAAATCGATTGTTTTTAAGGTCTGTGAACACGAATATATGAATATGGTCCCCCCTTCCACTTATCGATCTTCCAACGCCTATGCAGAGTACCACTCACTATGTTAACTGATAGAAGACATCATGAAGATTCATGTACATGTAGGTAATTGCGATGATACACTACACATACATGCATCTGCAAATTAACCTAAATTGTAAATGGACATTATTAATTTATTATTGAGAGGGTTTACAAAAAACTCGTATTGTACTGAATTGCACAATACCTTGGGACATTCTTAAATCTGTATAGTTTCTGGTTACCATCTACATGGGCCGAATGTTGTGAAACATGACATAGAGGACAATCCAACCAACAGATACCTTGCAGCTTATCTATCTCGTGTTGGCAGTATCGCCATTCAGATACAGCTTTTCTAAATGTTGTTGGGTTTATTGTACCATTCTAACAAGATGAACATTAAAAACAAAATAAAAAGAACCATTCAAGACGTAATAATATTATTAGTACTATTTAAATAAATAAACTAATTGGCCAAAATTGCATTGTGAGAGTCAGTCTGAGAGAAGTTTCCAGTCAAATACTGCCTTATGACTACATCTTTTTGTTAGCCAGACTGGCTAACAAAACGATGTAGTCATAACCTCCTTGTAGTTTTGCATGTTGATAATTTTAGTTATATTTGTTTTGTTTTGGTTTGTGGAAACATCATATATATCATTATAATTGCAAAGCTTTTAATCTGTAAGCTCATACTGTATCAAATATTAATGTAATGTTTTCCGCAAACCAAAACAAATACTGTACTAAGATTATGAAAATTACCCTTCCCCTGAGCAATGATATATCCTCCAAAGCTTTGATAAAAGCAGATTCAGATGATCCTGGCATCCGCATGCGAAAGGCCTCCCACACCCGAAATACTTCCTGGTCAAATAAGTAATTGATATTACAAGGCGAACCAGGCCAAAAGCCATTTCTCAAAATGTTCTTCATGGACATTGGTGACTGGATTATCCCACATTCGTCACACAGTAAGCCAAACCAGCGAAGATCATAGCGCCCTAAGAAGTGATACATAGCAAAATGATTGCATGAGCCACTTAACATCATAATTATGATTGATGTGCTTTCTTCCTAACAATGGCACATTACCTGTAATCACTATTTCAAATATATTTATATGTACTGTACAGTATTTAAAAAAATTATAACAAACTATAACTGTACATAACTATATTAATAGTACATGTAACATTTTTTCACAAGTCTGCACATGCAATAAGAAAAGTTTATTATATGGCAAGCATTTGTTTTGATGAATCGCGCAATTTGATTGGCTGCTGACGAGGCAGGATTTTCCCGTATTGCCCACGGGCAATACGCAATTTTTATTGCCCTGCGACAAGAGCCGAGTTTCAAACGGCAAAAAGTGTCTAAAAGTCTTTCAAAACTATTCAAAACGAAGAAAAATATACCTAAACTAAAGAAAAGGAGCACCTTCTTTGGTTAAAGAACTTTCTCAATATGTTTTTGTTAGCGAAAGTCGAAATTACAAGGTAAATTTTACAATGTTCATAGCTATTAAAGAAGTCAGGAATAGCGTGTTTTGACTTTGTGAAGAGCTGCAAATCTTATTTGCAGAGAGCCGAGGAATTTGACACCATCCTAAATAAAAAATACAACTAAAGCAGCCACAGATTTATATTTTTTCCCTGAAAATTTCTGGGTTTTTTCGATAAAAAGAGATATATTTATGAGATGAAGCGAACTAAAAACGTACTTGTAGGCTGTGGGCTGTTGTGCGAAAAAGTGCCTAGAAAAGCAATTTCGTGGCACTCTCCTGGGAAATAGATTTTCTGTGGTTCAATTCATAGTACCATAGATGCTTAATTACCACAAAAAGTTCCCAAGCAAAAAACTTGCCCAACACCAAGAAAATGGGTGATCAGTGATTATCCTCTATTAAATTGTATTACAGCAAGAAAGTGTAAAATTTTGTATTCAATTACAACAAAAATGACTTGCATTATCAGAAAGCTTACAAAAACCTACATATAAGACATTTAAACAGTTTTTTATATCTAAAATTGTTTTCGAGTTATACCTGTCAAAAACGCGTTTTAGACCTAGTACCCAGTCCTTATTGCGAGTTTTTGGTCCAATTTTCACATTTAAAACAGCAATAACTCAAAGACTTATATGAAAAATCAAAAAACTGTTTAAAAGTCTTATATGCGGTTTTTTGTACGCTGTCCGATGATGCAAGTCATTTTTATGGTAATTGCATGAATACAGAATTTCCCATTTTTTTGCTGTAATACAATTTAATAGAGGATAATCATTGATCACCCATTTTCTCGGGATTGGGCAACTTTTTTGCTTGGGAACTTTTTTTGGTAGTGATGAACCTGGTATAATATGCCTTTCAAATAAACCCCAAACCAAGTATTTCCCACATGGGTGCCACAAAGCAAAATAATTTTGGCCAACAGCCTATACTGTTTATTAATTTTATTGTTTTCATATTTGTTGTCTTTGTTTTTGATTAAATGACGAAATACCTCATATTTTCTTGAAATACTGTCCAACTGTGTTAGTATTCTATATAAAAAGTGCTGTAGAGTAGTTTTACTAACCAAGCTTGAGAACATTTTTAACAATTGTTCTTTTTTGCAAATGTTTCGGACTTTGTACTTTGCCCTCGTGTGACCTTTTTTCCCATTTTTTACAAACGTACAATGCCATATAATAAAAAACTTACTGACCTCAACCGTTCGGGCAGTACGGGAAAATATCCAACCTCGGTCTTGCTGTATTGACCTCGCTCATCATCGCTCGGTCAATACAGCAAGACCTTGGTTGGATATTTTCCCGTACTGCCCTCACTCTCGGTCAGTAAGTTATTAATACGTATATTGTGTGTAAATAATACTGTAAGTACCTTTCATAGTGATTAACATGACCATCTCATCTGAAATACATTGCTTCAAGGCTGCATTTCCACAGGATTTGCAATGGTCTTGAAACATGAATGGACAACAACGCTCTAGAAAAAAAAAAAAATCTGACATGTACATGACTTGTATCAAATATAGGATTTACAGTGGATACATGTAATCATACAATAACCATTAATTAATCAAGTTCAATTTCCTCACCAAATACAGTATCATTAATTTCTAAAATTACTGTATTTATTTACTGAATAATACCAAACATCAAGACAAACTGGCCACAAGCTACTGTATATACCAACAAATGTTCACATTTGTGTTACATTTAGACATACAGTATACCTGGAAAATATATGGTATATACTATATATAATCAATTGATGAAAACAATTTCATGGAAATTCATGTATATGATGCAACCTCGTATCTGGACATGCAGTGTTACAACATTCTCGTATCTAGACAGTTTACCTGGAGGCTTTGACGGTGAAGTGATTAGGTAAGCGCACTTGCCTTTCAAGGTCGCAGGTTCAAATCTCAGTGAGAACTTTCTCAGTGCAACCCAAACCCAGTCCTTGTGCAAAAAGAGTAAAATGTCAATGCTCTGCGAAAGGTTTTCTCCGGGTACTCCAGTTTCCTCCCACATGGAAAGTTGACAGGGTGGGTTAGATAAAAAGGGCCCACAGTAATTTGTGCTATGTAAATGCTGTTATGGTGACCCTGCCCTAGTTGGCAGAGTTAAATAAATAAATACAAGCCTGACTGATGAACATTCCTAAACCTAACATTAGGACAAAATTGCAGTGACTGAAGGAGTGGGTTATATTTCTATTTGTGATTCAAACTCTATCTACTGTTCAGTAGTTACTTGAAATTTAATTGCAGTTAGTACATGGTCTAGGTTTTACATTTTGATATTAAATATAATGAGACCAGTATCCTAAAAGGATAATTCCCAAATATAATGGTAGCATTTGTGTGACAGTTTGCAAAATTCCACCATTTTATCTGATTTAACTGACTGGCTTTGATATGCATTGGATACCAGGTTTAAAATCCCAATATCCCTCTTGAATGAACTGAAAATATTTAATTTCATGCCTGTACTATACAATACCCCATATTTTTCTCTAGAATACATAATTATACAGAAAAATTATGCACCATACAGTATATAATAATGTTATTATGCACAGTATCAATAAAATAAAATAATTGAACTGCCTGACACAATTATTAATTATTTATACCTTTATAAATAAGTTTTCCTTCATATGAAACACCTTGTGTTGGTGGCAGGTACTGGGAAAATCCCTTGGACCAATATTCTCTGTCATGCAAAGGGTTATCTGTATGCACTACATCATCACATCCAGGGCAAAGATACTGGAGCTTGCATTCACCACACTTGATAAGTGCACATTCTTTTTGGCAGAGCATACAAACAACCTTATCATCAGGAACAACCAGTGAACCAAGAACAGCAGAAAAAAGTTCTTCTCTGCAATTCTCCCAATTGGCTTCATTGTTTAATGATCTTTTCTCCCACTGCGATTTCTTGACAGTGTGATCAGTAGATAAGTCATTGCAAAGATTCTCACAATCCACAAGAACACTGGTTAGTTCATCTATGTCATAACAAGTAAAAACTATTAATAACAATAACCTGATACAGCATAGGAATGTTCGGTATGAGAAATTTCCGGTATCGGTATACCGAAAAAATTATAACCGATATTATCGGTATACCGGTTTTCCTTTGATAATTATAAAGGAAAATTCTTTAATGGAAGTTTGAAGGAAATTTTGAGTAATTCTATAAGGGAATTCAAAACAATAATTTCGAAGCTGTTTCGAACATGTTTCGAACGACATGCACATACTCAGTGAAAAATCTAACTGAAGTGGAAATTCTAAATCATTGCAGTAGAAAGTTCTTTGAATTGCCATTCAGTAGTAAAATAAAGGTTATGGTTTCGCCATATAGTTGGTAAATTTAACACGGCATACTGAAAAATTCTGGTATATCCAAAATTTTGGTATATCGGTATGGTTGAATGTCTGGTATCAATATACTGATATTGATATAATACCGATATTTTCGGTATATCGGTATACCGAACAGTCCTAATACAGCAATAATTTCTATATTAGGGTATATTAGATATATTCTATGAGAACTTTCTAAAACTGATCTACCAAGGGTCATCTGTAAAAAAAAACTTCATATGTAACATCCTTTTTTCCTAATTTTTAGGTTCGGAGGAAGGGGTTTTTTTTTAAAAATTTATTTGCACTTATATCAAATCAGCCTCATTCCCAGGGATATAAAATATGAGCATATTTAATTAATATATCGAGGATTCAAGCAATCAACAATTGACTAGCTGGGCACACCCCAGCTAATCAGCTGCTGACAAATGTAATGCTAGCTGTTATTGTTGGTTTATTTATAAAAGTGGACAAATTCTTTCGGAATAGAAGATTTCTGAGGTATTTATATAAAATAATTTAAACGTTTTAAAAATTGGGTCGGGAGCTTTTTCACTGGTCGGGCGGGATGCTAACCTAGTTATTTTTTTACTTGGCCTAACCCCAACTCCAATAGTACATACTGTACTACAATGTAGATGTATACCTTCATAACTTATGCCTTCATCAAATTCAAATAAGTCATCATTCTCATTGGGTAATAAATGTTCTATATCAGCACTTTGTCTGGTATTAACACTGGATTCTCCACTTTTATTTCTTGCTTGTGTTTCTTAAATTAAAGTAAATTCAACTGTAAACAATTTATAATGTCATGTATATTCTTACATGAATTATATTTATTTATCTGTGACTGTAAATAAATAATTTTGTTTATAAAAACTAAGTGGTCTAAGAAAATCAACAAATATAATCAAAAGACATGTGTTTTTGTGTGAAAAGGGGGGAGCACATAATAGGAGGGGTGGGCTTATTTGAGAGGGGGGCTAATTAATAGAGAGTTTAGGGTTGTTTTGTTACCTCGAAAAGATTCCTACTACAGCCTGTTTCACCCAAGAGGAATGAGCAAGAGCCAAGAGGAATCATCACTTAATTGCTGATTCCTCTTAGATGATTCAGGCTGTAGTGAAAACCTTTTGCATACAAATGTACTTTTTCTGTTGTGATTGTACACTCGATGTCCTTCGTTGTTCCATTGGATCTCAAAGTGTTCGTCCTTTTTCGCCTTTCTCCTTTTAACCCTTTTCTTGTTGTTAGGAAACAATTCTTCTGCTTCTTTCAAAGCATTGGTTAGCAGTTCACTAACACGATTTGGCTGCTCGAGAAGAATATTGTCAGTCGACGTACGTAGCTCCTGTTTTCGTTTTCCCTTCGATTTCGGTTCTTCTAAAGACCAAAAACAAACAACGTACTTAATGTATACATGCCAACTATTAAAATTAGGCAAAATATTGCAAGAAACTATTTATTGAAGCTTCGATATTAATGCAGGAAAATATAAACCAAAAAATTAAAAATTTGTTGACAGTCGATGACTCGATATATTATAACGCTCTGAAAAGCCTAAATACGTTTACAGCAACACTGATTCTGCAACATTATCAACATACACAAACACATACCCGATCTCTCTTCTTCTGTAATTGTATTCATGAATAAATTTCACTGATTTTCTGCCTAGAACATACATAAACATGAAGCAAACATGACGCTTGACAGCGAAGTATGTAAAAATAGTAAAATGTTCATAATGCGTCAGCGATACACTTACTGTGCCTGTCAGCGTGTGTTAGTTTCAACACAAATTAAGGCTATATCTTATTTTGAGCCTTTTTTAACAATTAAGATATAACCTTAATTTGAGTAGGAGATCATGTTGCTGAAATAGCCTTGACCTAAAAAATATGGCAGGGTGTAAATTCAGTGCTTCCACTTCCACTTTCAAAAAATAATTTTCTTTCCAACTGCTCAAAATTTCCTTATTTTTGACAAAAATTCCTTTGATGAAGATGAATTTTACCTAGTTTAAAACTGGTATTACAATAATTTATCCTGAATGACGGTGTATTTCTCGGGCGGGAAACACCATGAACGTTGCAATTATAAATTATAAATTAATTATAAAAAAACTGCAACAGGAGGCTTGAGGTCATGCCTCAGAAATTTTTCAGATTTTCCATTCCCCAGGAGTAGGATTTGGATTTTCGATATTTCCTGACGCGAATTTGCTTCGGAATTGCTATAATCTTAGGATTTATTAGAAATAACGTAATATCCTTATTTGCTTGCTGAAAACAAAATTCCTTGCCGTTTCCTAGTAAATTTTATTTCTTTTTGCAAAGAAATTTCCTTGCAAGTGGAAGCACTGCATGGGATGACCAGTGGGGATGACGCTGTACGCAATAGTTGAAGCCTCCTCCTTTTCTCACCCTCCGCCCCCCCCTTCCATTATTAAGGATTGGTCCCTTATCTGTGTAAATGTAAAATACAGTTCTATTTTATTTCATTTTGCTAAGTAGGAAAATTCAGTATGTTTTAATTTAAATAGACTATTTTATACATATCTGCAAATTGTAATCCTGAATTCCTGTAAATGTAAAATAGGATTAAAATAGTGTATTTTATTCTATTTTGCAAATTAGGGAAAGTAAATAGGTTTAAAATAGTATATTTTATCCCTATTTGAAAAATGTGGCATTTTTAAAAATGTGAAATAGGTTTAAAATAGTCTATTTTATTCTGTTTTACGTATTCTGAAAAATAAATAGCTTTAAAATACTATATTTTATATCTATTTTAATTTATGTAATTTTCTGCACGTGCAAAATATGTTTAAAATAGTCTATTTTATTGTTATTTTGCTAACTATGAAAGAAAGATAGGATTAAAATAGTATATTTTATTCCTGTTTGAAATTTCTGCATTTAACTTGCAATGTAAAATAGGATTTAAACAGCCTATTTTATTTTATGAGTTTAAAAATAGTATATTTTATATCTATTTTAATTTCTAACTGCTTTTTAGTGAAGTAAAATAGAATTTAAATAGGCTATTTTAAACCTATTTTTTCCCTGAAGCTCTGGAAAATAGTATTAAAATATGCGATTTTATTTCTATTATCTATAAAAATAGGAATAAAATAAAATAAAACATTAATAAAATATGGCTCTTTCTTTTGGTGAAATATTATGATAGAATTAAAATAGGGTTGCTTCTAAATAAAATAGCATACAAATAGGGGTGATAGTAATAAAATAGTTTTAAAATAGCAATATAATATAGTTGTTTTCACAAGGGTAGTGTAAACTTTATATATATATATATATATATATGTATATATATATATGTATATGTATATGTATATGTATATGTATATGTATATGTATATATGTATATATGTATATATGTATATATGTATATATGTATATATGTATATGTGTATATGTGTATATGTGTATATGTGTATATGTGTATATGTGTATATGTGTATATGTGTATATGTGTATATGTGTATATGTGTATATGTGTATATGTGTATATGTGTATATGTGTATATGTGTATATGTGTATATGTGTATATGTGTATATGTGTATATGTGTATATGTGTATATGTGTATATGTGTATATGTGTATATGTGTATATGTGTATATGTGTATATGTGTATATGTGTATATGTGTATATGTGTATATGTGTATATGTGTATATGTGTTAAAATACACGAAAAATCTGAAAGCTATTTGTTCCACGTAAAATCGTCTTGACTTTTCTCACGATGGAGAAACATTTGGTCCTTTGGAGCCGGATCTAGAGTGGAAAAATAGCGAGATTTGACCACGAATTTGACTCGAAAAATTTGACTATAAAATGGCGACAAACGAAAACATTCTTCGAGAACGAAAGAAATCAGCGAAAGGAAGACTTACGAAAGCGAGAAATCAACTAAAAAGCTTGTTGAACACTCAATTATACGGACAGTTAACGAGTAAGAATACTATTCGACGAGCTATTAACAAGGTAAGCTCAAAATATGACATTATCGAAAAAATTATTAATGCTTTAAAGGAAATTTATGCTGTTAGTACATCCCACGACGAAAATACGGACACGTTAATTGAAAATCTCGATAAAGAGCTTGAAGAAATTGGAGCTCTGGTTGACGAAAGCCAAAAATTAGCCTACGAACATATAAAACAGCGAGAAGACAACGGTGAAACAGTTTCTGTATCGTTATCAACTGTATCGAAACCTTATTCAGTCGAAGAACAGACACATCCGGAAGTTAAGGAGGCTAATGACAGATTTTTACAAATACAAGAGGAACAACGACGACAAGAAGAAGAGTTAGAACAACGACATGTTGAACTAAAGGATAGACTATTGCATTTCCAGCAAGAACAAAGACAGAAAGAAGATGAGTTGCAAAAACGAACAGCTGAACTTGAGCTTACAAAACGACGAGCTGAAGAAGCACGAAAAATAACTGAATTAAACCAAATTAGAGCGGAAACCGCTGACCATGCCTCCAATTCCCACCACGACAGTTTAGAGAACACTCTCAATAATATCAATTTGCTTCCACCCACACCTTCAGTGCAACCTACTTATAAAACAGCCAAAAGAAATGGAACAGTTAAATTGAAAGGTGTGGATTTACCAAACTTTTCAGGCGAAAATAAGGCAGACTATGAGTCATGGAAAGCTGCATTCATGGCCATCATTGATAAAGCAGAGATTCCAGTTAGTGAAAAGATGTTACGCCTCCAAAGTAGTTTATCTGGGAAGGCATTAGTTATGGTCAAAGACCTTGGCTACTCACTGAATGCATATGAGAGAGCAAAGTCCAAACTGGAAAAGAAATATGGCGGAGAAAGACGACTGATGATAAAACATTTAACAGCCTTGCGTGATATGCCAAAGATTAAGTCACGGAACCTTGAAGACATGGAACATTTTCTGGTCATTTTGGAACGTGTCATGATTGCATTGCAAGACAGTGGACCGGGTAGAGAACTGACAGGGCAAAATTTGAATCTCACCGCAAAAGAGAAGTTGTCACAAAGAGATGTTCAAGCATACAAATACTGGCTTATTGAACATTCCAATGAGGATAACTTTGAAACCCTAGTTGAATGGGTAGAACTTCAAGTTCAAATTATGGAAGAAGCCCAAGAAGAGACAAGTGGCCTCGGAACTAAGCCAGAAGAGCGGAAATACCTCAGAGGCAATGACAGACATCACAACCAGGGATTTAACAACACACACAAGCTGACCAGTTGCATTGTCGTCACCTCGTGCAAAGAAAATCATCCACCATGGGTGTGTGGTGCATTCAAAGCCTTGCCAGTATCCCAAAGAAAGGAACTAATCAGCAACAGTAAATGCTGCTTCAGGTGTCTAGCAGCTGGTCACCGCAGAAGAGATTGCCCTAATGTAAGACGGTGTGGTCTTAATGGGTGATGAACATAGTCGATATCTCCATGAAGATAGCCACCAACCGCATGAGACAAACCAACTCAAGCCAGGACAACACCCAGGAAACAACCAGCGAGACGAGTAATCAAAATGAAGCAACAGCCGAGACCAGAACACATACAACCAGGCAAGCCGACTATGTATCACTTATGGTTTTACCAGCAGTGATTAGTAATGGTACAAAAACACTGAAGGTGAATGTAATGCTAGACAACTGTTCAACTGGTTCATATGTGTCTGATGCCGCAGCGGAAGAACTTACGCTACAAGGGAAAAGCCAACAACTTACAATTTCAGGAACAGGCGGTACAGAGGTTAAGAAACATTCACATCAAGTTGAAGTGATGGTAACCAGTCTCGACAAAAAGTTTTCTGCTAATCTACAAGCCAATGTTCTAGATAATATATCGGGAGACACCCCAGCGTTTGAGTGGTCCAAGCTGAAGAAAGAGTGGCCCCACCTACAATCAATCCCGTTCCCGAATGTTGCGAAGCGTCAACAAATTGATGTCCTTATTGGATCAGACAACCCCATATTTCACCATATTCTACAAGAGGTACATGGAACTAAAGCGAGAGATCCAATTGCACGCAAGACAAGTCTCGGTTGGGTTTGTTTTGGACCTACGCTTACCGAACAGTTTCGACAATCATCCAAATCCTATTTCACATGCACCTACAGCACTGATCAGACCGAAGAACAAGGTCCTGATGATATTCTACGACGGTTTTGGGAGCTAGAAGCCATCGGTATTCGAGATGAAACGGAAAGAGAATTGACGCCAGACGAGAAGGCAGCAGTAGCCCAAGTAACAGAAACATTACGTTTGAGAGACGGTCGATACAAGATTGGCATTCCGTGGAAAAGAGGCGAACCACACCTAATAAACAACTACGAAATGGCTTTAAACAGACTCAAGACCCAAGAAAGATCCCTAGTACGAAAAGGTTCCAAAGTAGCAAACACATATGACGAGATCATCAAGGATTACGAAAGAAAAGGCTATGTTAAAAAAGTGCCCAAGAGCAATGAACTTGAACAGAGTGGTTTCTCCAACATTTCCCAGTGATAAGACAGGATCGAACAACAACTAAAGTGCGTATGGTCTTTGATGCCGCTGCCAAAGACAACGGGAAATGTCTCAATGATGCTGTGCAACCAGGTCCGAAACTTCAAAGAGAGTTAACTGATGTATTGACACGCTTTCGACGAGCCCCTATAGCCTTATCTGGAGACATCTCGGAGATGTTTCTACAACTTGGTCTTATTGAGGAAGATCGACGTTACCACAGGTTTCTCTGGCGTGACTTTGATTCAAGAAAAGATCCAGATCACTACGAGTTTAAACGACTCCTGTTTGGTAACAGGGCTTCCCCATTCTGTGCACAACACGTTGTGCACACCCACGCAAAAGTTCACGCTGCAGATTACCCTCATGCTGCAGAAACTGTTGACAATTCTATGTATGTGGACGATGTGTTAGACTCATTTGAGACGGTAGACGAGGCTATACAACTACGACATGAGCTGTCAGAGTTGCTTGCTATGTGCAATTTCAAGCTGAGAAAATGGTCATCCAATGATTCCATTGTCCTGAACGACAGAAGACCGTCTGCAGAGCTTTGAGATCCATGACACGGAGGAGTCCCCCAAGACAAAGACTCTCGGTATACTGTGGGAATCAACGAGCGATGTTTTTACTTTCCGGGTCCAACCACCCAATGTGGATATGAAGTTGACAAAAAGAAACGTTCTCAGCACTATAGCGACTATCTTTGACCCACTGCAGTTCTTGGCCCCCTTCACCCTACGTGCTAAGATTTTGATGCAGGAAATCTGGATAGCTGGAATCGGTTGGGACGATCTCCTTACAGACGGATTGATTTTCAAGTGGAAAAAATGGGTCTCGGAACTACGTGAATTATCGCAGGTCACTATTCCTCGAAGTCTTTGTCTACCCAGTCCTTCCCAAAGTCGATTACACGTATTTTCAGATGCATCAAAAGAAGCTTATGCTACGGTAGCCTACTTAGTTTGTCGATATTCTGACGAGAGCACGACCTCGAGAATTGTTGTGTCGAAAAGTAGAGTGGCACCAACAAAAGCAGTGACGATACCACGGCTAGAGCTCATGGGTGCAGTTCTTTCCACTCGACTGGCAAAGAACATTAGTAAGACCTTAGAAGTTGGAGAACCTATATTCTGGACTGACTCGACAAACGTGTTGTACTGGATACGAAACCAAAGTCGTGATTTCAAGCCGTTTGTAGCCAACCGAATCGGTGAAATTCACAGATCCACTAACCCACAGCAGTGGAGACATATGCCTGGAGAGTCGAATCCAGCAGACCTGCCAACAAGAGGATTGTCAGCCACAGACCTAGCAAACAACGAATTGTGGAAGAAGGGACCAGAAATTCTACAACAAGACGAGTCAACATGGCCCCCTCAAATCCCCAACGAAGAAGTTCAGAGAAATATTGTCGAAGGCGAAAGACGAAAGGTTAACGTTACTCACACAACAAGGGACAGTTCAAACCCAAGTCTCATTGATCCAAATCGTTTCTTGAGCTTTCAAAGATTAGTGCGCGTCACCAGATGGGTTCGACGTTTCCTGAGTAATTGCAAACAGCCTAACGAAAACCGAGAAAAAAGTCGGACGCTCTGAGCACAAGAATTACAGCAAGCAGAGACATATTGGTTTAAACGAACACAGAGCGAGGCGTTTCCCGATGGTGTGAAAGAAAAGTGTTTGATTCAATTAAATCCAAAGACAGACGAGAATGGTTTATTACGATCTGACGGCCGATTATGCAACGCCACTGACGTGCCATATGGTGTTAGACACCCCATTTTATTACCCAAAGATCATATTGTGACACGTCTGATAATAATAAGTGCACACGAAAATCTCGGACACGGTTCTGGTGTTGAACATGTTCTAACTGAGCTGCGTGCCCGATTCTGGATAATCAAAGGAAGACTAACTGTGCGAAATATGATTGAAAAGTGTCCTGGCTGTCGTAGACGATTCACCGGAAAACCAACCACTAAATGCCCCCTACGAGCCTTTGAACGCGTTGGTGTGGATTACGACGGACCATACTTGACCAAACAGGGAAGAGGCAAGACAAGAGCAAAACGTTACCTGTGTCTATTTAATTGTCTTACTACATGGGCTGTACATTTGGAAATGGCGTATTCCCTGCATACAGATTCCTTTATAAACGCGTTTACCAGGATGGTAGCAAGGAGGGGGAAGCCGACATGCGTAGTTTCTGATAACGGTACCAACTTTGTTGGAGCGGAACGAGAACTGTGAGAGTTAGTAGAAGCATTTGATCTAGAAAAAATTACAAACAAGACAACACGAGATTATGCTATGGAGTGGAAGTTCAATCCACCATCGGCCCCACACTTCGGTGGTGTATTCGAGGCAATGATCAAGAGTGCTAAAAAAGCCATAAAAGCTATTCTTGGTAATGCCGACATTACAGACGAGGAACTTCATACTGCCATTTGCGATGCAGAACGTTTATTAAACTCATGACCAATCACCTTCATCAGTTCAGATCCTGATGATCTTTCCCTGTTGACCCCGAGTCATTTCCTTATCGGACAGTTGGGAGGAAAATTTGCTCCTGAAACCACAGATCGAGATGAAGTTTTCAACCCCCGAAAGCGTTGGCATCGTGTACAGCAGTTGGTGGGGCAGTTTTGCAAATGCTGGAGGAGAGAGTTTATGCCGAGCTTAAATACACGAAAGAAGTGGTTTCATCCGACACACAACCTAAAGGAGGACGGTGTAGTGATGTTAGTAGAGCCAAATGCAAAGAGAGGAGAATGGCCTCTTGGTCGAGTTATCGAAGTATTTCCTGGAAATGATGGATTGGTACGAGTTGTAAGGATAAAAACGAAAGACGGTGAATACTTGCGTCCGGTGCACCGGTTGTGCCCTTTTGAATACGCAGGAGACAATTCATAACGCTCGGACTGTTACCTAAGACATTGAACACATTGCAGTTATATATTAATTAGTTTTGTTAGTTGGGTTCGAATGTTTTTACATTCGGGAGGGGGATGTTTTTGTCCTTGTGACAGCATCCAGTTAAAAATAGAGATCAGAAATGCGACCGCAAAAGACAAGGACCGCGGGCGCAAAAACGTAGGACGAACGTTTTGTTGTCGTATCGAAAGATTGTTTTGCGAATTCCGTTAAATATTATGTAAATTTCTTGTTAAAATACACGAAAAAACTGAAAGCTATTTGCTCCACGTAAAATCGTCTTGACTTTTCTCACGATGGAGAAACATTATAAAATTTAAAAATCTATCAGTAGTTATGGAATTAGAACACTTAGATTCGCTTAAATGTTGTACGTTATGTTCATGATTTATCGCAACGCTGTTGTAATTGTCTTGTTTTTTAAGCGGACCAGATGATTTACTGTCTTTAGCAAACTTTTTACAAATCTCTTCTCGTCTTTTAATCAATGTTTGGAGACCAGCCTTCTGCAGCGATTCTTCATATGACGATCCAGGGTCAATTATTTTTAAGGCTCGCTTTTGGACTCTCTCAACTTTAGTTTTTAAATAGTCTGGCATAGCAGATCAAACAGGGGCAGTGTATTCGAGGATTGGTCTGACTAAGCCGCAGTATACTGTTACAAGTTGTTGATACCCAATCCTTGCTCTCCATAGTATATGCAGTATATAGAGTTTCTTATTAGCTTTCTTAGTAATATAATCACAGTGTAGATTCCATGAGAGATTGTTATTCAATAAACACCAAGTAACTTGTATGATGATACTCTTTCAATTGTATTCCCACCAACCTGTAATGCATCTTGGAATGGTAATCTGTACTGGATAAAATTAATTATCATTTCTTTGCATTTCTTTGAGTTTAATCGCATGCCCTTGTAGAGGCATGATTGTAGATGTCATTAACCAGCAAGGGAGTCACACCCAGTGAACATCTGGGGATACATTCTATAGTTGTTAGGTTGTCCACAAATTTGATTCTGAAATTCCAATCACGAAGTAGACTATTTACCAGGACCGCAAATAGAATAGGGCCTAATTTAGTACCTTGACGTATACCTCCATTAAGACACTTAAACAAGGACATCTTATTGCGGATGCGAACACATTGTTTCCTTCTCGTCAAAAAGACTTGAATCCATCCCACAACAACAGGGCGTACATTCAATTCTCTAATTCAGCAACTAGGACACTGATCAACTAAGTCGAAACCTTTACTAAAGTCAGTGAAAAATATGCTAGCCGAGGAACCACCTCGGTCAAGGGTCTCCAGAACATTATGTAGTAAAAAGACTAATGCTTGTGTTGTAGAACGGCCTTTCATCGCAAACTGATATGGGTCAATCTGGTCACCAATATCGGCCAGTAAGGGTTCCAAAGTAAAGCCTTCCATTACTTTGGCTATCTGCGGTGTCAGAGATACTGAACGGAGGTCATCCTCATTTGTCTTGGCGGTATAGGGTATTGGTTGGGTTTTGGAAATGTATTGCTCCTCATGACTTGACGGACAAAATCTAGTTAGGTTAGCCATTCCTTCATTCAAGAAAGACAAGAGTATCGTGGGTACGGTGGACACCTGGTTCGCCGACACTTCGGAAAAGGAGAAGTTTGGTATACGCTCGCAGAGCCGCAAGAGACTTTTTGTATTAAATAAAAATGTACAGTTATTTAAATTAATAAAAAATAAGTGTTTCATGATATTTTTTATTAAATAACTATACATTACAAAAAGCCTCTGTCGACGAAAGTGTCTTGTATAAAAGTAAATTCAGCTTGATGAAGCAAAGATTTCAATATATAATATATTATAATACTGTATACAGTATTCTGATTTTCAACAACATTGTCTAGCGTATTTTGCCTGCCGTTATATTAATAACAGCTTCAGAGATGAATACCAGGTCTATAGGTGATCTTTAATTTAATCTTGATGTTATAAAGCTAGAATTATATTCACTGGTGCATTGTTGAATATGTTTAGTTGCCATAGCAAAATAAACAGACAGATTGTACGCAAGTAGCTTCACGCCTCCATGCGCGTCGTCATAGTCGTGGCCGTCGAAAGTTGCTTCGTAATTACACGCTTTGCATCATTTTCTAAAAATTGATCATGTGATGCCACCACATGAGTTATAAAACAACGAGAATTGTCATATTTCTATTAAATTTAAGTGAATATAGAAGCTATAAGTCCGGCATCAGACGATGTCCTTTGATAAATTGTGCCTATCGAAATTTTCGGCTCGATAACTTAAACTCATTTGAAATCGGGAAGACATAAAATTAATAACATTGTGCTAAATAAAATTTTTGAAATCGTCCGAAGCAATTCTCTCCCAGAAGGAAATCTCCTCCATGTTGAAGATAATGAAGTTATTCAAGTTGCCATGCCTATGGATTCACAGTTGAGAAACATGACATTGATCCAAGATCAAGTTGCCAGTACCAGTGGTTCAACAAGACCGCAAAGCTCAGCAGTTCCACAGGAATCACTGCATTCCCAACAGCCAATAGCCAGTGTCACTGCTGACACTGAACAATTTACCGACCCTCTTACAGTTACAGTTACAGAACCACTTCAACCACAAGCGACAGCATCGTTGCATCTTTACACACTGCCATTCAAAAAATCAAAATTAATGAGAGGGACATGAAAATTGTTCTTGTAGATGCAAAAGCGGTTCTTGAGAGCAAACTTTCTGAAATAGATCTGTGCTTAGACAAGGCCAATAATGTGGCTACCATTGTCGATAACAGCACACAGTCATTGGTTCAGTTGCAAATGACGTATCCTTGGCTACAAGTAAAGCTCCGGTCGCCACCAAATGCACTGTTAGGTGCCTGTTGTCTATGTCAGCACCATTCTTTACAAATACGTTTGCTTTGTGGTTACTCCAGCATGCAGAATTGGCTCAATTGTTTTGTTGTGCTTGATAGCGATCATCATGCGCAAAGAGTTAAAAATCATGAACCGTTAGAATGTCATAAAAGCAGCAAGTCAGCAGAAGAACAAAGAAAAAGGAATGCTATCTTATTTTCCTCTCAAGTTGCTCAAAAGAAAGAGACAGAAGCTACAGAAAGGTTCCTTTTGTGATGTTATGGACTAATACAGTGCCATGTACCATATAACAGATATCCATTCATGACATAACTGCACCATCTTCTGATATGGCTATAGCCAGTGCTTCCGATTGTATATATAACGTGCAGTTGCGATCCTTGGTGCAATTCATTCATTCACCCAACCCTTCAACTGGCTGTCTTCAGCACTGCCATCTATCATTCGACAAAGTAACAGTTGAACATATTACACGTCAAGTAGTTAATCTCAGAATCTTGGATCTTAATGGAGAACCAGTCTGTGTCAATGGAAATCAAAGTGTCATTTCTGATTTTCTCGACATGAAGATCCTGTACCAGATTACACAATCAGTCTTGGAAATATTCCCTTGGCCGATCATACCAGTGACACAAGAGGTGTAGGCTGGTGGAGACAAGATTTATATGTTACTTGGTTGGCTCAGTTGATGCTGTTTTAACTAATGCTTATGTATTGGAACTACTCTGGCAAGAACAAGCTGCTGAGGGAGATGTAATGGAATTCGTGGTCACTTGAAGAATTTAGTGAGTCCGCTTTTTCTATCAACCTTACTTATACTCGCCGACATATTTAGTCAGTCCGCATTCACAAGTGAAGCTGCACAGTCTGATCTGTATCCATTATGGGATGACAAAGCCAATGTAGATAAATTTATTGGAAACATAACAAAAATGAATGAAATGCCAGTTCTGGAAAATCCCTTGAACAGACGGCTGCGTTTACAATACCCAAGTATAGGAGAAGGGAATTTTATGCCAAATTTTAGTAAACCCGATCAGCAAGTCAACATTTTACAACATGATGTTCAATTCCAACCTTGGGTACGACATCGCCCACAACCGTTGACACCAGATGACATCATCAGAACAACTGAAGATAGATTGAAGCAATTAACGCCAGCAATATTACGAGCAGCTCCAATATTTTTAGCGATGGGCAAACAGGAAGAAAATGTAATAAAGATGTTTGATGTCAAGTCGTTTGATTACCACAGCTCTGAAAGTCTGTGTGAACAAAATAACAATGAATTTATTTCATTTGCTAAACATCTAAACAGAGATAACCTTTCATTTCCATGACACCGCTGCTGTGAAGTATGTTCTGGGATAGATTGCTCATGCTTTCTTAACCAGTACATAACTTTTAAAGAAAGAGTCTGGGATAACAAGGAGAGATTCAAACATTTTTGGTTTGTTGAAAACGAAGCACATCAGATTACATGGAATACCTCTGTTTTATGCTGCTTTCAACAAAACGGAATATGGCTTACATGAAGGTATACCGGATTTGGTTGAAATAATTGAAATTTGCCTCGTTATGTCCAGATCTCGATCAGATACAGAACGATTCGGGAAACTTGCTAAAGATGTGTCCGAAAAAAGATTTGGTGGAAAATTTAACGAAACGCATCAAGACCAAAATAAAAGGGACAGAGTTAATCAGGAAACATTTATTTATGGTAATTCAGTTCCACTCCATTCCCTTCCGCTCGAAGATCTGAGGAAAGAATGGAGTAAAACGCATTTACCAGCCATTTTAAGGACCAATCCAGACAAGAAAAGTTTGACCCTGAAGACTCCTTGAAATAAAGAGCAAAAAGTAAAATTTTGGTTTCAAAAACAATAAACATAATTAAACAACAAAGTACACTTTGTAACTATTTAGCACTAATAAATGAAGTACTGTATTGACAATAGTGTATAATTTGTTTTGAGCATGGATATTGGACTTTGGTTATGACTTATCGGTTTCACTGTCAGGGACTTATCAGTCAAAACATAACAAATTGCTATCACTGGAATCCTTTATCTTATTCTTAATATGCATGCAGACCGTGATGCACTTAATATTATCACAAAATGACAAATATCTAAACAGCTAAATATTAATATATGTATATAACATAAGATGTTATTTTAGGAAGACTTAATATAATGTGAAAGGAAGTTAAAAACTGATGAATTAATCGTTTTGACATATATTGGCAGCAACTATTTACCACTAACCAGGAAATTAAAAAGGGCCAGTACATGCAATTGATGCAAAATTTATTGCACAATAAAAAAATTTAAAAATTAGGCAACAAAACAAATATTAGGCTATAACCCCAGGCATGAGAGAAATGCCATTTGGAGCCCTGGGTGCAGACAATTGATAGAAAACAGAGTAACAAAACAAGAAAACAGAAAATGGCTGCCTTCAACATACGATGGGTTTTACAGGTAAACTATGTGAAGCGTTCCTCTTTTGAGTTTCTAAATTGATTGCAATTTTCCTCATTACTTTTGTAATTTAAAAAACTCCCTTGCAAATTCCTTGAGGGAATTTGCAATGTTGCTGAAAGCCAAAAAAATTTTCCTCAGTTCCTGTTAGAAGTTCTTAACTTCCTGTTACAAGTTCCTAACTTCCTGTTCTGTTCTGCATGGTGCAATTGGCTAACAAAAATAATCGACCAATAACATAACAACACTCAGAACAGAACAGGAAGTTAGGAAATTAAAACAGGAAGTTAGGAAAATTTAAAATGAAATTTGGAATATTGCAACAGCCGATAGGAACATTGCAAATTTCCTCAAGGGATTTGCAAAGAGTTTTTCAAATTTGCAAAGCTAATGAGGAAAATTCCAAATGAGTTACGAAGTCAAAAGAGGAACGCTTCACATAGTTTACCTGTAAGGTGCAAAATACTTACTTTGTTACTTTTAAGACAGAGAAGGGAGTTGCTTTTAATAGATTCTGGATGAGGAAAATATACAAAGAACGACAGAAAAAGGGCGAATATCACATTCTTGTGACATTTAAGTCCTACAACGGTGGGGAAAATTGTGCAGGAAACTTGTGATGCATTGTGGAATGCTCTTTCCAAGCAAGGATTTTTGTGTGTCCCTTGCAATACCAATGACTGAAAAAGAATTGCAAACGATTTTGGACAGATGTGGAATTTCCCTCAATGCACTTGGGGCTTTGGATGGAAAGCATGTTGTGATGCAGGCACCAGCACATTCAGGCTCAATTTTTTTAACTATAAAAAACTCACAGTATTGTGTTGCTTGCTGTTTGTAATGCTCGGTACAAATTTACATTGGTAGACATAGGAGACACTGGAAGGCAAGCTGATGGCAGCATATACACAAACAGTTACCTTGGCCGAGCAATTCAGAATAGGTTGCTTATGTAAACATTGCGGAAAAGGCCATGCATTGACCAAAGAGGCCATGCATCGATGTACTCGTATTCAAGTGTATTTTTTCTGTGACTAATTTTTCATTCTTCCAGCTCAAGGTTATGTAAATTTTAGATTTTAGTTCGAAAAATGTACTATCTATTTGTAATATTTGTTATTCTTCAATCATACCATTTCATTTTGTGCTGATTTGATTGAAATTTTTATCATCCAAACATGCATGCCATCTAAGCATGGTGGGCACAAGACACAAAATATATGATAGAGGTAGCTTTATAACAAACATGTCATTTTATTTTGAAAAAACAAACCAGCTCAAATAACACCGGTTTTCTCCGAATTCCAAAAACTATTAAGCAAGTGAAAATGATTTTTTGTTGCTTTTTCTTTTCGTTGGGGAAAAGATTCAGTTTAAAAACTCAATCCAAGATTGAGTTTTTTTTACCTCTGTTTACCGGAGGTTAGTTCGTGCTTGGATAAAGTCCTGAGTAAGCTCTAAGTCAAAGGAGCAATTCCTACAATTATAGCCTGGCAAATTATGCAGATCAAGAAAATCCATTTGGTACAACTCAAGGTGAGTGGAGAAACCATGATAGTTCAGATGGCTTAATACCTATTGTTCGAACTGGGTCAAATAATTACTCAAGAACTGCAAAGTAAGTTCAATTTCATGAATGAAGGAGCAGTAGACTGGCAATGGACAACAGTGACCCGAAGAGGGAATTCTTGAGACAACTGATATTAATAAATTGCATGCAGCCTATTAAATTGTTATTTATACTTTGAAAAACTGATGTTGAATAATGTTATTGATATTTTATTGAATGAACACTTTGAAAAAGATTTTATTAAATTATTTTTATAACATTTCAATAAAAAAATAATCCTGTTAAATAGGTGATAATATGCACTGTTACATAATATGTTAGAGTTATAAACCGAGAAGGAGGTTTATAACTGATATATTGCTTAACTTGTATCTCATTTGTGGAGGTTTTCTAACATATTTTCTCATTTTCAAAAATTTTTGATGAAAATTCTCGCATTTTGTCGAAAAGTTTGATGTAATTATTTATTGAAGGTATATTAGCTAGTTATAAACAAGCCTGGAAATAATTTTTGAGGACCTGCCTGTCAAAATTACCAGCACCAATGAATTTGTGCCTGTCATGAAACAAAATGTACTGGTCATTGTACCGGTCTGCCAAAAACATAGGATACAGAATATGCAATTGTTAAAATCATTTTATACATGTATATGTACACAAAACAATGTCAATTATGTCTATAATGAATAATGTTATAACGCTGTTTCAAAGACAAAGTACTGAACTACAAGTCTTCAGGCAAAAAACCTACAAAATCACTAGCTTCACTGTCAGTGTCACTGAAAAGTAAAGCAGCTGTACGGCCAGAACCAGATGAATCTGTACCATCATTAGAAACTTCCATGTCTTCCACATTGTCAGATTCTGAAGCTGGTGGTGCTGGTGTGGTATCAATCACATCATTGATGTCATCAACAGAATCATCAGAATTGGCATCTTTTTCAGACACGTGATAATATTTAACTTTCTTTTTTCTAGCTCTATATTTCTTTCTTCTCTTCTGATTTGGCCGTCTAACTTTCTGACTTTGCCACATCTGAACAACAGGGCTAGCATCAAACGAACCAAGGGGAGGACCTTCCTCCTCAATTCTAAGAACATTTGTTAGCCTCTCTTCGCCTAAAGAACATCTTGCATCACTCTTTGTTCTCTTGAGTTTGGAAAACAGGCGTTCTAGTTTTGCATTGCAAATTGGCACAGAAAACAACAGTTGGACCAAAAGCAAAATGTTCTTCCACTTGGAGGAATACGAGCAGTTAAACAAAAGTCTCCATGTCTTCTTGTAGTTGGCCTTCTCTGACTGAAGAAAGTTTACTGTATGACTTAGCATATCGTGCCACTCTTCAAGAATAGCTTGATTATAGTTGCTTGACAGAGGCCTTGCTTTAATAAAATAGGACGGAACTTCTCCAAAATACCAGTAATCATGTTATCTGCAAACTCGACTCCGTCCACTTCTGCTAGTAATTTCCAGTGCTCCGTGTTCAAGATCTTCGCTACAGACTCTAATTCAATGCTACTGGCACCTTCCAATCTGGCATCTACAGTAGAATGAATGGATTCTATGACAGTGTTTTTTGAAGCTTTAACATCAGCCGCAGCTTTGTTGAAACTGTGGACTGGAAATTCGATTCCTTGATAAGTACATGTGGTGTCTGTGACTACCAGTTTATTTAAAACATGTTTGACAGATGGAAGGTCTTCAAATGATTTCGACATCAACTGGTCAAGGGATTGCTTGGATCGCTTAAGGTTATGTATTGCTCCAACACTGTCAATTGGATCATCTTGGAATGCTTTAGACAAAATTGCAGCAGGATTGAGAACATCAATAAACAGTGCAACATATAAAAGCATGCGACTAGATTTCCATTTACGTAAATAACCTTTGAGTTTTTGACGATCTGTGACTTCTTTATCACTGCTTAAATGTTCTAAATGTTGCATGTAAACACCATATTTGTCAAGAACAATTCGAAGTGCTGATAACTTGAATGCGACCATCGTGTTCCAGAAGCACGTTTTTGGTTTCACAGAGCCCTCTTCAAATTCATAGTTGAGTAAATCATGAAGTTCTTTCAGTTCGTGCATTTTTTTGGGAGATTTATGATACAGGGAATATAACTTTGTCAGCATATCACCAACATCGTCAAATACTGTGCCATTTAGTGCGTCTTTGACGGCAAGCTCCAGTTTGTGTGCAACACACCATGTGTATACTAGCCAAGGAGCATTTTTCTCCAGAAGTGCTTTCACTCCATTTTTGTTTCCACTGTTCACGGATGCACCATCAGCTCCAAAACCCACTAATTTAGAATACAATTCATTTGGCAAGATCCCCAGTGACTCAAAACTTTGTTCAATTGCACTCGTAATACCTTCTGCGTCTGCCTTCTTTACATCTTTTAAACACAAAAACGAAAGTTTGACTTCTACTTCCTCTGGATTTGACTTAGAGTGGGGATCAAAATACAGCACATAAACGACTTCTTTCTCAGTTACTGAGTTGTCTGTACTACCGTCTGTTAAGACACTATAAAATTTTGCTTTTGTCAAATCTTCATTCAGCTGATGAGCAATAAATTGGGCATTCACATCAATAAATTCACCACATTGTTTTCGGTTATTGTAAACATCACCTAAGTCAACACCATGACGTTTCTCCAGTGTAATTAAATCTTCAAAGACGGTAAATGGCAACTCGTTTTTGGCAACAAAATACGCGATGTCAAACTTCTTAATTGTTTGCTCTAGCTGGGTTTCATTTAACTTTGAGAAACCATCTTCTAGAGTGCGTTGACTGGGATGAGGCCTAAGCGGATTTTCCATATTGCTAGACAATTCACCTTTGGATGTTAAATTCTTAATATAGAGATCGTATGCATGCCGATGACACTTTGTTGCAGCGTGATCTTGTGCGTTAGATAAACGAAGGTTACATGACCCTTGTATCCACGCATTAGAAAAATCTCGATTGTGCTTTATTCTTTCTTCAAACGTTGTGCACACCATGCATTTCATCAATTTGACTTGGCCGTGCCCATTTTCTTCATGATTTAGCCACACAAAAGCGTTGGATGGTGCCAAATCTTCGCTAATCCACTTTTTTAATGTGCTTGATTTTAACGTTCTGTCAGTTTTTTTTCGCTGTGAAAGATTAGCTAAATCTGAACTTCTTTCACTAGTAGTTGCTGCAGATGCTTCACTAGTTGTTGCTGCAGATGTTTCACTAGTTATTGGTGTGGATGTTCCCCTGGAATTACCTTCACTATCATTACTTTTGTTGGAAAAAAAGTCCGTTATTTTCTTCGACATTTTAATTTTTTCGCGGTTCAACAAAAAATTCCCGCCAAAATCGCGAATGACGTTTCCACTTGGAAAACAGTTTGATCATCATTCATCACCAGGATTTTTTCATAGTGGAAACACTGCACAAACATGGCGTCGCGTTTAAAGCATCGTGCATTTTCAATAAACGGGATAATTTTAAACTTTATAGCACAAATAATAGAGAATTTGTCGACAGCAAGATTTTTTATTTTATTTTCGATATTTGGGTTGAATATAAAGAATTTGTTGACAGGAAGGTTATGGTTTAAACACTGAAATGAGCGCCGGACAAAGTGACAGACACAATCAAATTTGTGCCTGTCAAAACACTACAAATCGCGTATTTGTGCCGGTCAATGACCGTGACCGGACGCTTATTTCCAGGCTTGGTTATAAACCTCGGACGATCAAAGAAAACAGACACAAATGAGATATAAGTACTGTTACATACAAACAAAATGAAAGTGGTGATCAGTGTTTCCACAACAGAGCATTCAAATCTCTTTGTTTTATCAAAGAACTTCCTTGAAATGAGATGTGATTTCCAACAGCTGGGAAATTTGTTGCGCATGCGCCAGCTTTCCATTGAAACTTGAAGATTTCCCCGAAGAAATATTACGAGATGTTCGTGGTTGTTGTATATTTTTGAATGCCTGTTTAATCTTTATACTTTTTTTGCTTGAGACAAAGACGAAGTAAAATGTACTCTACATTTCCAGTGGATAGAATATGTCGTTTGAACAGCAATAGAATATTATAATCTTGACACAAACAAAAAGACATTTGCAAGCCTGACAGCCTTGTCCAATGCAAAACAAGTACAAATTTGGGTTCAAACAGAAAGAAGTTCAATGTTAATACAACTATATACAGTATTCTATACAAATACGGGTGGTTGAAAATGTTTTCAATTGAATTTTCAAAGCTTTTATCTATCGCTATGATAATCAAACTGTGAACTTGATGCTGCAGTTTTGCTGACGCTTGCGAATGCAAAATAACTTCCCGTAAACAGAGCATTTCTACACATAACTCTCGCTTAGTCTTCTGATGCACTTGTACGTTCGGTTCTACTGGTTAAACAAGGAAAATATTCAAGAAACACTTGTAAATTATCGTTGTCAAAAAACATTTCAGTGCTGAGGCAGTACAAGGTCTCAAGGGCAAGGTCAAGTTGTCGATTTCATTACATTTTACAGTACTTCGGAATGTTTTCGAACTCTGGCTTCATACAAGAGCAGTAAACGCACGCATTTCAAAGCGAAATTAGACGCAAAGGGGCAATTTTTCAACAAAATTCATTGTTAAATTATGTTTCCTAAGTGCCTTGGGAGCAAAAAAATATGATTTTAAATTTGGAGGAATCGGTAAATTTTTTTTCAATTTGGCCTGATATTGCACCCTACCTATGCAATGACTGTGCTGTAAAAGTAATCAAATATACTATTTTGAATTTCCCTTCATTGAAAGGATCTACTATTGTGGACTAAACTAAATTTTAATCAGCATACAAGGCTGCAAACAACAGCCAAGAATAAGCTGGGTAGTTTGCAAACTTTAAAAATAATTGAACCTCAAACTTTGATCCCAAAAGTAAACAAATGGCCAATACTGCAAACATAATCCAAGTTTTGACCACTAGGGCAATTTTTAGATGTAAAAAAACTTGTTTAAATTACATATCAAACAAAGGCAAAACAAAATTTGGTATTAATTTTTTGGAGGAAACGTCAAGGTTTTCTGCTACCCCCTCCCCCAGGACCCTCTCTATCAGAAAACAGTTTTCTGCAGAAACTATGCTTTTTTATCGGGAAAATTTTTACTTTTCTCAAAAAAATACTTTAGAAACCCAGAAACCTTAAATATTTAAATCATTTTCATACCTTTTCGGGATTGCAAAAAGCAAAATTTGATTCATTATCACACTTTTTAAAATATATGTGACAAAGTTGCTTCGAAATCACTATCACGCAGTAGCATGCTTATTTACACTCATACTTGTTTAACAACACTTTTAATTCTGGCAAGTCTTGATACAACACCTGTTCGTGAACGTTGTTGTTGTCGATTTGAACGAAACAATGGCTGGTGGGCATTGGTGTGGAACGAGTACTCGGACAAGTGATTCACTAAAACTTTTAGAGTCTGAAGGCCAACATTTGCTTTCATACTTGATCGCATAAGACACGCTATCCAGCATAAAACTGTGAACGAAGAACCAATATTGCCTGAGTCTCGATTGGGCATTTGTTGATATCGGACAGCAGAAATTGTCGGATTAGGTGTAGCAACTGTTTGTTTAATTGTAAAGGAAGTAACCGAAGCAATTATTGCAAATTTATGGAATTTATCAGCAGAACAACACATGCCCCGAACAAAGGAAGATTTTGAAGGAAAAATACTAGATATGGAAGAACTGTGGCAATTCCCATTTTGCTGGGCAGCGATTGACGGTTGCCATATACCAATTAAATGCCCAGCTGGAGGTCTCGAGGCTTGCAAGGAATACCATAACTTCAAAAACTTTTATTCTGTAGTATTGATGGCAATGGTCGACTCCAACTATAGATTTGTGTGGGCAAGTTGTGGATTTCCTGGCAATTCACACGACTCGATTATCTTCCAGTCAACCGAACTTTGGAATAATATAACAGAAAAAGGTGCAATTCCAAACATTGGTCAAACTGTGGGTACAACTACCATTTACCCACTTATTCTGGGTGATTCTGCATTTCCTCTACAATCATGGCTGATGAAGCCTTACACGAATGCCGTACTGACAAATGAACAGAAAAATTTTAACTATCGCTTAAGTAGAGCAAGAATGGTGACGGAGGGAGCATATGGGCAAATGAAAGGAAGATGGAGAGTTTTGATATGGAAGAATGAAAGTGAAGTAGACCAAGTGAAAACAACCGCCTTAGCATGCGTAGTTTTACACAATATCTGTATTGATAGGGGGAAACAATGTCAAGAAAGCTTGATCTCACTTTTGATCCTGTAACCAACGAAAGAAGAGATAGGGAAACAATACGAAACCTACTTCAAATGCGGTCCTGTAGAAAGATTAATAATCATGCTGCTGAAGCTGAGCGAATCCATGATACGTTGTGTGAAAAACTATGGAATGAAAAAAAGAACTTGTAACTTCTAAAAACTGCATATCAGTCATTACTGCTTGATGACAATGTGTTAACAAACTTAATTAATACAAGATACAAATGTTCATTGACATACTTATTGATATTAACTGTTTTTAGTAAATTGTTCTTGGTAACAAAACTCAAATGATTTGTATCATTTTTGGGCTGGTCAAATAAATCATGCATCAGTAAAATGAATGCTATTCCACATCAGTATATGGCTGAAAATGAAACTCACACAAATGTAGCACATAGTTCGGAAACTTGTTGGAAGGTGTATTGGTCACAATTTCTATGTTAATTATCTAACTTTAAGCAAAACTGTAGTCCATCATGTGCCTACTGTTTTTGTTTGTGTGAAAATACTGTACAATAACCACAACAATGGACTGTACTTTTTGCATGAACCTGCCCTATAACATAGATGACTTTCATTGAGTCTCTAAACCATGTGCTCTATTAACTATGCTGAGACAACAAATCAACCACGCAAGCTAGGGTCTGGATATGCGCTCCTGCCTCTCTTGAATTGAGACCTTTAGTATTAACCGGTCATGCGACCCTCCGTATTTTGGTGGATTTGATAATTTGTTTCTGGGGAGGGGATAGTAAGTATAGTTGTCAATTTGTCCTATAATGGCACTTCATTAATCACACATCGAACAAAACTAGTATCCCCTCTCCAGAAACAAATTATCAAATCCGCCAAAATACGATGGGTCACATGACCAGCTAATACTAGGGTCTTAATTCAAGCGAGGCAGGAGCGCAGATCGAGACTCTAGCTTGTGAGGTTGACAACAAATATGGATATATATGCATATACATATATAGTTTGGCATGCTTTAGTCAATTAGCAGTGAGCCCTGATATCAGTATACTTAACAAAAATATATGTAAAATTAATTTGCACAAAAGCAGGCAAATATATTTACTGAATCAATATCAAATACTTACTAGTATTACTGTAACGAAAGTTGTTTTACCATCACATGCATTATAAACTATGATAACGAGGATTATTTTCTTGGGACATGTACTGACATTGATCTTGAGTAAAGGTTGAAGACATTCCAGCATTAAATGGCCCATGTTGCTGATGTTGGACTGCTGGTACTTGATTTCCCATCATTTGTACACTTTGTGAAGCAGGTTGAACAAACCTTTGAAGTGGGACAGGATGCTGCATAGATTGCATTTGCAGTAGCATCAAATCATGCTGGCGAGACTTTTCAGCTTCCTCTCTCATGAATACCAGAAGATCTTTTACAGGATCTTTTTCAATAGCTTCCTTCAGTAATGTGGTTGCTTCTTCAATTGGGTTTTTCTTTTGTTTCTTTCTGCTTCGTTTCACTGGTACAAAAAGTTTCCTGCCACTTCCTTCTTGCGATGTACTTGATGTTGCTGTGGAATCATCATCACTATCCACTCCTACTGATTCTGATGATAAAGCTGAGGGTTCAATTGCCAGCTCAGGTTTGCATGCATCTCTTGTTTTAATAAGAGCAAATAATGGGTTAAACCAATCACCAAAGCCTTTGTTATCTTGAAATCCCTTAATCCCTGTGCCAGTCTTAATAGTAAGTGCAGCATTTTTGCACTCTCCAACTAATTTCTTAAACTTTGTACGAAGTTGAGGTACGGAAAATGGAACTGGCTCTTCTCGTTCGGCAGCCCTTTTCTTCATCTCTTCCAAAACGTTTGCATATATGTCACCATTTTTTTGATTTTTCATATTTATGAATAGTAGTTTCCTTTTGTAGTTCTCATTATTTATAATGATATCAACCATATCATTGATAAGTGAATCACTCCATTTAGCTTTTCTTCCTGGTTTTCTCCCGGCTCTTTGCAATTGTTTCAATCTCCTGGGCTTGGAACCAACATTCTCATCATTTTCACTGTCGCTATCCTCCTGAGTGTTACACGGTTCGTTAAAACCCAGATCATGTGCATCACAGTGCTCTTGATAAGTATAATCACCATCATTTGTGTCATCCTGAAGATCAACACTTTTCTCACCACTAATCAAATGCTCATCACTAAAAATGAATTTTAGTTCTATTGCAATTCACATTTTTCCTTTTCTGCTGTTCTGTAAATTTTAGTTCTGTTGCAATTCACAATCGTGAGCATCCCTCTTCAGGAATTGGTGAATTTTCTTTTATTTCTAATGCCTTTATGTACCTATCAATGTTACGCCCCAGAGTGTGTGTGTGGGGGGGGGGCATATGTGGGGCATTTGATTTTTTGAGCAAATTTTCAATCAAATGTCCCACTGTTGGGCAATAAATATTGGTCAAATACCCCAAATAATAAATATTATATTAATAAAATTCATTTGGTTCAAATTGCTCTAACTTGGGCCCAAAATGCTAATCAAAATCCCCAGGGTGGGATGCAATTGATGATCAAATGCCCCACACATGCCAAACCTGACCCTTAACATTGACAAGTGCATATTTTAGATAGTTATAGCCTTGTAACAAGAGAAATTTAATAGCAAAACAAATGCCTCCAGAAAGTTAAAACATGCATTTTTAATAACACAATAAACATGCGTTATTTCTTTTGGAATCTTTTAAATAAAAGAAAGATAACAATTATATTCGGATGAAAACATTGATGAAAGCCTGAAACTATGTCAAAGTGAAAGTGTTAAACAAATAATAATAAGCGATAAAATCATGAAAACTATGCGGTACGGTTGACCGCTTTTAATGTTGTGAAATCGTTGTCTCATTGGCTATGCAACGACCCATGAGAAAAATAGTGCTACTTATTTTTCAAATCAGTAACAAAAGGACGATTTTAGCATATTTTAGCAACGTAAACTATAATTTAAAACAATATAAAAACTTACCCACATGAATCACATTCCGCCATGTTTTACAATGTGGTCATACCCGCATTGAGTTCTGGGACATATTTACAATGCTAATATATGATAATCATATTATAATATTAAAAAATAATTATGCATTAGGTTCGGCGCATGAAAAGTACGGTGTCTAAATCAATGTCGAACCTGTGTCGCATAATACGACTTCTCTTGTCGCATCTTCGGGTCGTGTCGAACTTAATCAAAACCTGCCAAACTTAATTGATTTAGACGCCGCTCCAGCGTCGCACTTAATCCATGCATTAGATTCGGCGCATGAAAAGTTCGCCGTCTAAACCGGGCCTAAGAACCTTACATTGAATGCCAAAAAGTGTGAGTTAAACAAATCCAGCATCGAGTTCTTTGGGTATATATTCTCCCGCAATGGTTTCTCCCCAGACCCCAAGAAAGTCTCTACCATCAATAATACCAGTTCCCCTACCACCGCTCATGAAGTTCGCAGTTTCCTCGGTATGACCAACTACTGTTCCCGGTTTATCCCCAATTATTCCACCATCACCTTGGTGTACTGTTTGCTTGTGAACATTTTCATCTTTACATATACGGCGCGAAATTCAACGTCATCACAGATCACAAACCTCTTGAATGCATCTTTACCAATCCCGCTGCTTGTTCCAATGCCCGATTAGAACGCTGGGCCCTCAAGCTTCAACCATATCACTTCACCATTTCCTATTCTCCTGGCAAAACCAACCCTGCCGATTATCTGTCCCGTCACCCTGTAGCTATGACCGTTTCTGAAGTGAAACAATCCACCCGTGCTGACCCCACTCTGCAAGCTGTCATCAAAGCCCTCCGTAACAACTCCTGGCACTCGACGCTTGAGACACCCAGTCCCCTTGTCAACTCCCAGGACCTCCACACTCTCCGCAATATCCGCAATGAACTGAGTGTTTCTGATGATCATGATCTTCTTCGCTTCTTCGCCCTTCGTCAACGTGCTTCCATATCGCCCATGAAGGTCATCAAGGCCTTACCAAAACCAAACAGCTGCTCTGCGAAAAGATTTGGTTTCCTGGAATCGATGGCTTACGAAAAAGCTATTTGACACCTGTCTCACCTGTCAAGCAACAGTCGTTCAACAGCCATGTGAACCCCTACGCGTGACCGAGTTATCACAGGCCCCTTGGCAACAACTCTGTCGATTTCTGTGGCCCTCTTCCCTCCGGCGATATGCTCTTTGTGGTAATCGACGAATACTCGCGCTATCCCGAGGTTGAGATTGTTCGCTCCACCTCTGCAAATACCGTCATCCCGAAACTTGACCGCATTTTTTCCACGCATGGCATTCCTAGAGAGATCAAGTCTGACAACGGACCTCCATTTCAAAGTCACTCTTTCGCCCAGTTCGCACAATACATGGGGTTTCACCACCGAAAGATCACTCCAGAGTGGCCCAAAGCCAATTCTGAGTCTGAACGTTTCATGCGAACAATTCAGAAAACACTCCACGCTGCCCACCTCGAAAACAAGAATTGGAAGCAAGAACTGTTTCTTTTCCTCCGAAACTACTGTGTGACGTCACATTCCACCACAGGAATTTCCCCTGCTGAGCTCCTCTTTGGACGAAAATTAACCGTCAAGTTACCGGAAGTAGTCCCCACGTCACCATCACGCTCGCAATTTGCCGATATCGATCTCAAAAAGAAGGAAAAGATGAAAGAGTATGCTGATACCGCAGCCAAAGCAAAACCACACAGCTTTCAAGTTGGTGACACTGTTCTCGTTAGTCAAAAACACGTTAATAAACTGTCCTGATCGTACAACAAACATCCATACACTATCATCAAGATCAAAGGTAGTATGATAACGGCAAGAAATGCAACCAGTTACATAACAAGAAATAGCTCGCAGTTCAAGAAAATCACCATTACCACACATCAACAAGATCATGCAGCAGACCCTTTTGACGATGAGGAGATCAACATTCCAACACCGGACCATCCTGCGGAAATTAGGCGTTATCCCACAAGAGAAAATAGGAGACCCCCAGAACGCCTAAACACTGAATATCAGCATTAACAATACTTAAACTATGTTTTATTACTAAATATATATACTTCAGTTTAGATCATTGGTTTTAATTAGTTCAAATTACTTCATACGAACAATGCCCAATGAACTTCCATTCAAAACAAGGGAGGGATGTAATAACCTGACGTCATTACTTATGTGACGTCACTTGTATATAACTAGCATTCTATGTATATTAAATTAGTATTGTTATAACCACTCAAAGAGCATGTCTTGTATTATCCTACTATAAGAATACTACAAACAGTGCTGTACAATGTGTAAAGAAAATGACAAAAATCTTATCAAAACCCTTTTATTTTAAAAATACATAATCTACAGTAGTGTAAATGGGGGATGCTTGTCAGAAGGGGGTTTATTAGATAGGGGGATAAATAACTTTACTCCTATAAAAAGGGGGGCTTATTTGAGAGAAGGGGGGAGGCTTATCACAGGGATTATGGCAAGACTAATTAGCTAATGACAAAATCTCCACATTTTAGAATATTGTCCAAGCAATGGATGCAGGCTGGGGCGGTTTTTCGGTTTTGCCAAAACTGAAGAACAAAAAAAAACGGACAAAGCACAACGAAAACCGGAAAAGTTACCGAAAATCGGGCAGCATTAAGGGATTAAGGGAATTCTAAAAATGGCTCATGACTCATCATAGATGCTATCATCCCTAACGACGCCAGGAAATCAAATGTGTCATTAGGGCGTCCACCTGCGCATTATTCAAATTCGGAAGATATATTTGTATTCATTGTGTTGTGTCAAATCACACTCTCACTTCAAAAACTAAACTGTGTGTCTTCAATCCTGCATCTGTAAGGGTTTTTTCGTTGACATGGAAATGCCGGAATCTAACAGCTCAGTTTCTAAATTCTTTAAGAAGGCGGATGATAACAGCGCAATCTGCCAAACCTGCCTGTGGCAAGTAAAAAACAAAGGTGGTAATACGTCTAACTTGGCAAATCATATGCGAAGAAACCATGCCATGCAATTAGGTCATTATTTTTGTTTGTTGGCTTTTTATAAGGTGTTTTGTCCACCTCTTGATGTGGTTGCCATGGAAACGTGTTTGTTATATTTTTGTTTTGTTGCCTTTTTCACCCTGATAAATGCAAATTTATGCATGTCATCTACATTTCTGACTACATGAAGTTGTTCACAAGCCGTAGATGCCAACAATGCATCATGGACAGGCTTGTGCGTCTTTTTGTCAGCCATTGTAAAACGAATATTCTACAAGACATCATACTTTAGAATTGCAATTCATCCAATTCTGTGTTTCCTCGTTTCTCTTTTGTTCGATTATGGCTGGGAAACAATTACAGGAAAAAGAGAAAAGGCAAACCTTTCTCTGGAAAGCAAAAGTATAAAAATAATTCAACAAAGAGCACTGCTGATGATTTCGACTCACCATCAAGCACATCACAGGAACATGTGTCGACCTCAAACCCACCTTCTAGCGCATCAAGATGGAAGTTAAATTGGCGTGAACTAAAACTGTCTGTACCAGCATTGGTAGTACCAAAGTGAAAATGCTGTGCTGAGTGGTTATAATACCATCTTAAAAACTCGACGTTTCGAGCGAAGGCCCTTCATCAAGAGTTAGTAGCAGGGATCGGGGAAAATGCATGGGCTTTTATAGTAAAAGTATGAAAGAATCACGTGACAAAAAATAAACCAATTAGATGGATTTAATCATAACAAAGTGTAAACAAAATATGTAAATCGCATTATAGAATATAATATAATTAAAAATATAAAAATAAACAGGAAGTTAAGACAATTACTACAAAAAATAATCAAAACAAAACGATGTTGTCAATGTCTGCTATAGACAGGCAAGGACAGATGGTATCATAGACAAACCAGAAGACATGTCTTCTCGATTGTCTATGATGGCATTAAACATAAGAAAAGCGTTCATTAATGCCAGAAGGGTGAACAGTGCCAAGTTTGGATATGAGGCGCATTTCATGTCGTTTGCGGCTATCGTTGCTTCCAGAAATGGGACAGATGGCTCAAATTAACATATCTGAAACACTGATTGCCATTATTAAAATGTCTGGCAACAGGTTGGTTAGCATCATTGCCAATAACTGCACGCCGATGCTCACCAAACCTTGTCCTTAAACATCTTCCAGTTTCCCCAATGTTTAGCATGCCACATCTACTGCAAGAGATACAGTAGATGAGATGGGAGGAGGCGCACGTGAAATGGTGCTTGATGTGAAATTCAGATTTAGGTGCCGAAACAATAGTGGTAGAATCTATAAAATCACAGGTTTTATATTTCGACAACAGGCAAGGAAAAGTGCTTTTCTGTGACGTCGAAGACTGTGCTAGGGAGCTATGGACAAGGGTTTCACAGATATTTTTGCTGTGTTGAAAAGAGACTAATGGGTTATCGGAGAAAATGGAAGATGTTTCAGGGTCATTTTTCAAAATATGGAAATTCTTGTTGATGACATCTCTAACTTTGAAATTGAAAGGATGATAGTTTAATACTAGGGGGATTTTGTTGTTGTCTGTGACATTAGACACAGGGTCTGTGAGGGTGTCAGAACATGGAATTTGGGAGGCCTTCGAAAAAGCAGTGTCTAATAGAGAGGTAGGATTACCACGTTGGACAAAAAAGTGTCTCATCTCCAGACTTTTGGCCTGAAAATCTTCGTCTTCACTGCAGATGTGGCGAAGACAAAGGAACTGAGAGAAGGGAATCAACCTTTTGGTGTGGTTGGGGTGGGAAGAGGGAAATAGAATATAGCTATGGGAGTCAGTGGGCTTGTAGAACACAGAAGTAGTTAGGTCATTGACATGTAAATAGTATTTAAGCGACTAATCATTTTTGCCATTTTAATCCTGACGATGGACGCTTAGTCCGAAAGCTTGATTTATATTTTACGTTTTTTAAACTGTAAATAAAGATTTTTACCAGTGCAACATACTACCACTACAATGAAACTTCCTGGTAACATAACCACACTAAACAGAAGTAGATAGTTTGTTACCATTGATTGATACAAGGATATCTAAGAATGATACACTGGTCTCACTGTTCTCCCATGTGAACTGGAGTGCTGGATGAAAATTATTAACAAAGTTAATAAAGCGTTCCAATTCGACATGAGAACATGATGCTGTGCCAAGACAGTCATCTATGTACCTACCAAGGTAATCAGGGATGGGATCAGTGTACTGTTCGAAGATTTGTTTTTCCACAAAACCAACAAACAAATTAGCATAGTTGGATCCCATTTTAGTTCCCATTGCTACACCATTTATCTGTTGGTAATGCTTGCCATCAAAGGAAAAATTGTTGAGGGTAAGCACCAACTCAGCCAATCAGACCAAAACAGAATTGGCCGGTTCCTGGTTAGGCCGTTTATCTAGAAAGAATTTGAGGGCCCTTAAACCATCATGATGCGGAATTACAGTGTATAAGGATTTGACGTCCATGGTGAAAATGAATTTGTGAGTGCCATGAAAATGAATGTTCTGGAGAATTTGAAGAGCATGCTTGGTATCCTTGATACACGATGGTAAGTCCTTAACCAAGGTTGCCATGACACGATCAAGAAAACTGGAGATGAGTTCGGTGGGACAACCACAAGCAGATACAATAGGTCTACCTGGCTTGTCAGGTTTGTGAATTTTGGGCAAGAAGTACATGGCAGGTGTGCGAGGTGTGATGTGTATGAGGTTTTTGGCAGTCTCAGGGAGATCACCAGTGGTGATAAAGTTATGAATGGTCTGAGTGATGGTGGTTTGATGCAGGGGTGGAAAAAGTATCGGAACCTGGGAACCTAGTTCCCAGAAATTTTTTTGAGTTGAGAGTTTCACAGAAAATTTTCCAGAAAATATTTCAACATTTTGAGATAACTCTGTTTACTCAACTTACAAGTTACAACTATTCTTTATTTACACTGTATTTACACTGTACAGTGTACACACTAACATCAGCAGCCTTTTAAATATTTGACAGAAATTAATTCTGTTACCCACCCCTGTCAATATAATGAGGTAAAATGGTAAACATATGCTCTGCAAAGTCTCCAATAAAATGCAAATTAAATAGTAAACAAGTCCCAGTGCTATAATGCTATTATTATACTGCTATAATACTACCGGGTGGCACAAAAAATGGCCTGTTTGATTTATTTTAACTTAAAAACTAAAAGAGCTATAACACCTAAAATATGTGTATTCAGTATTGTCTAACTTAAATTGTTATATACACCCTGTGCATTTTCGTGCAATATTGACAGAGAGAGCCACGTTTAAACTTGAATAAACATTTTGGGAAGTGTCGAGAATTAGCTAAAAACAGCCTGTTAAACTAATTTGATAACCATTACCATTTTATTGTAATATTCGTTTCAATGAAATGAAGTTTGGATTAAAAATGTTTATTGGATGGATGTGCTCTTTTATTTTTGTTTTAAGGTCTTTGCAAATGCATGAAAATTAACTTATAATGCGATTTTGATTAAAAGATTTATTCTAAATATTCAATGACCCTGCATGGAAATCAAATTCTAATGTTCCAAGAAAGAAACGTCCCATGTTTTTTTTATAAATATGCCTCATTTAATGAAGGACCAAAGAGTGTCGATATGTTTATAATATGTAAGGGTAAATAATGCTCATGAGGTTATACCGGCGGCGTTGGTCAAGTCTCTGAAAACGAACGTGTATTTTTTTACTATAGTGTGTCTAAACACAGGTTATTGCTG